AGGCGTAACAAGAGGAGGGTGGAGCTTTTACTTTAGTTTAATTTATTTTGACTTTTGAGTTTTAGCTTTTGTTTGTTATTTTTTGTTGCACATTTGTTTTTTGTTGTCCCTGCACAAGCCAGCTTATGCCAGTAATCCATTGCCATATTTCTCCATTATATTTGTTGGGCGATGCATTTGTAGAACAGACATTTTAATAATTATTCCTTTTCCATTTCTGGTATTGAGTATTGTTTACTCAAGAGGAGGGATTGTCATGGACTAATTATTTCTGTATCACCTTGACACTGACCACTGTTCATATCTCGTGATATCTTCCGGACGTCAGCATCAGGTTGACCTATTTTCACGTAACAGGTTGTGATTGGTTGTTCATTATCACATGATGTTAGCTGACGGTATATCATTGCTTGCCAGCCTATGACGGGGGGGCGACATTCAACAGACTTCCTGATTGTTTTCTGTTCTTTGTCTGCCCATTAATAAATGATTTTACGACCATACCCGCAAGACTTTTTGTCTTTTTGACATCCTTTCGACGTGTTTCTGCCCATCTTACCACGACAATACCAAACAGGTGTTGTTACAAAGATTGGTGTCATATTTGCATGTGGAAACCAGGATAGCACCGAAGTTACATTACATTTAACCATTGTATTGCCTACATTAGATCCACATTTATCTGTGAAACCTCCACTTGCGAAACATTCATATTCAGCATCGTAATCTATTTTGTATCTTGTTGGCGGTCCGTTTTGTTCAGTTTTGATTGAGAACTCAGTACATTTTTCTTGGATCGTATAACCACGGTAGATATCCAAATAATTTTGAATTTTCTGTGCTCCATATAAAAGGCTACATTTTATTCCACACATTGGAAGTTTGAAAAACATTGGTATGTTTGACTGGGCATTGGTTTGGTATTYATCTTCTTTACATTTTTCTCTTTGCTCTTCAGCACATTGCTGTGAGTTATATTTTTCTGGGATCACTATTGGTAATGAGCCAGGAGCTTTAGTGCATATAATGCATTCTTCTGAGGTCATTTCCTTTGATCTATAGAGTGCCCATAAATACCAGGTATTTTGATTTGCTAATTCCCAAAGTTCATCACTTTTAACCGGCCTTGTTCTCCATGCTCTGGGAGAGATAATTACATGATTTATTTCAGGTCTTTTTCCAAAAGGYTTAAACATAGGTTTGGCATTTCCTTCATAATCAGTTCCTTCAATCAARTCCAATCCTCCCTTAAGAGGATTAGAAATGTCATAAATGTTATCCCATTTAGTAGTTGTTTCAGCATTTTTAGTTGTTGTTGTTTTAATGTTGGCTTTGTAGTTGTGTCATGTGTGGTTGCATCTTTACTAATTACCTTAACAGTTAATGTTTTTCTGATTGATAGCTTTTCCACTGGATCAAATTTGGTGGACGGGCCAGGTTGGGGAGTGTCCAGACTCAGGCCGAAGAGCAGAGTCCAAACCCACATAGAAATAAAAACACATAAACAAAAAGGATTATAGAAAAAAATTCTTCACTTGTTATCAAACATTCTTTAAAAATAATGGCAGATATTTTGTTCAACATTTACTTGTCAAAGTTCATTTCAGATCAGCTATAGTCTTGTTTCTTTTTTTTCTTGTCTTTTACTATTCATACAATAAAAAATGAAAGAAAGAAAAAGTTTCTTTTACAGTACATATGAAAGCGTGTTTGTGAGTTTACTCATCTTTCTCTATGGGTGGGCTGGCTGGCCATCTGACTCTGACTTTGAAGCTTTGTTTCATAGCGGCAACTTTCTCCGTCTTCTCCACAGTGCTGATAACGACAACGCCAAAAATTGTGGTGGCACAATTTACCAAGAATGCAGAAACACGTTGGAATAAATGCACAGAAAGTCTGCGTGTATGGTCGTCAAATTATTTAATTTGAGCAACAACAGAGCAGAAGTCAATCAGAGAAGTCTGTCAAGTTGTGGCTGGCTCATCAGCGCAGAGCAAACGATAATATAACATCCTGTGACATGCTTACAACCAATCACAGTTCACCAACTGTGAACATCTAACCAATGACAGGGCTGTCAGCCCAGAAACACCTTATCAAAATAAGAGAGGTCATGCTTTGCTGGAGTCTTGAAGTCTGGACCGATAGAGTAAAACAGCCGAAACTAGTTATCATGAGATATGATTACTGGACAGTGTCAAGGTAGAACAGATATGCATAATTAATCCATAACAAGCTCATTAACAGAATGCCAAGTGTGTGCGAATCAAGCAAAAGGTGGCTACTTTGAAGAACATATTTTCAGTTGTTTCACAATTTTTTGTTAAGTATATAATGCCACATATGCTAATTCATAGTTTTGATACCTTCAGTGTGAATCTATAATTTTCATATTCATGGAAATAAATGGTAAATGGACTGTACATATATAGTGGTTTCTATCCATCTGGGACACTCAAAGTGCTTCACGCTACAGTCTATGTCCTCATTTACCCATTCACACAGCACTCTTCTCTACAAAGCTAACATATACAATCATTCTTTGGAGTCTAATCAGTGCCAATCCCATTCATACACTGATGGGACACACATCAGAGGCATTAGGGGTGAAGTATCTTGCCCAAGTACACAACAACTGAGACAGCTGGACGGGGGATCAAACCAGCAACCTTCCGGTTCTAGGACAACTCTCCTAACCCCTCATAGCAGAAAATAAAGAAAACTCTTTGAATGAGATGGTGTGTCCAAACTTTTCATCTGTACTGTATGTGAACTAATCTCTCCAGGAAATTGTACTGTAGACGTTTTAAAATTAGACATGATGTAAAATGACCGATGATTTTGAGCAGAAACTGTTTTGGGTGGAGGTACTGAAGATGCATATGGGGGTGTTGGGCATGTTGGTGTGTAGGTTAGATAGGACAACATCTGTGGCAAATATCACAATGTGATCATGTTTATGGATGTACAGTGTAAGGGGATATTAACGCTAAATTATAAGATTTCTCTTATTTATCAGAAAAGGGGCACCAATTTAATTTATAATGTAAATTGTCGAAAAAAAAATAACTTCTAGATTTTATGACCAACCAATCTCAAAACATGAAGGCGCTATTTCTTTGCAGTTTTAGACACGTGAAACACAATAAAACGCGCAGACAAAAGCAATCAATATTTAGAATCTCATCCATGTATTGCAATTTGTTCAGAGGTAAATACAGCACAAAAACTCATTTTCAGGGAAAAACACAGGTTATAATCAGCTCTAAATATTTGATCGTAGATGTGACGTCACCTCAACCAAAATAGCTTCTGATATCATATGCTACTAAATCACTCACACTAACCTATTTTCTCTAAGCAAACTAATGAAAGCTTTCTTAAGACACAGCAAAAGAACCATTATCTAAATTGACCATAAAAAGACAAGTTTTGAGGGACACTGGTACCTATGTAAAATCCTGAGCTGATTTTATCCTGATCAGAGTACACACCCCGACTGCAATGGGACCCCAGCGATCCTTACCCGGTGACGTCTTCAGATCTCAGCGGGTACTTTTGGGGATGGGTCATTTGCCCAGAGGTTGGCTTACCTCCAGAGCAATAGACTGCTCATTGTGGCTTGGCCCATTCAAAGTCCCTTTGATAACCTGGCTAGCCCGGTAGCGCACTCAGAACTTTCTTCAGAGACCCGCTTTCAGCTGCTGATCCCCACTGCAGTTGGCTGGAGTCCTGAGATCATAAAGAACTCAGCGTCTGGAATTCAGCACAAAATCCCATCCTCCCAACAAAATTTCGTCAAAAATAAAAATTAACATAAAAGAAAACAAAATAAAATATATATAATGAATGCTCCCCAACGGGAGAAATACGGAGCTAAAATCCTCTTATCTGTACTTCTCAGATGTTTCTCTTAGACTGAAATGAACTGGAGCAAATACAACCTATTGTTGGTGTCCTAAAACTCCTGATTGGCTGAGAGGGGTCACGTGACACGCTCCTGTTTCTACTTTAACAAAATGAAATCTGAAATGATTAGACAAAGCAACTCAATACCTTTTTACCTGTGATGGTGATTAAATCAAGATTTTAAACATTACAGTGATTGGATCAGGAGAGAAGATACATTCTTTCTCTTTTTCTCTTGATATCAGAAATGCACAGATAAAGTGTTCACTCATGATGTAATTCTGGGCATCGCCTCTAGGATTGCTGTAACATCACAAATGAACTTGTGTCTCAGGAATGTCTTTGTTGTTCTGTCTGGTGACTCATCTCAGCAGGTACCACCGTCTTTAGGATTAGAATGTTGATTGGAACCTGGTTAGAGACCTGGCAAGAGGTCTGGCAAAACATTGTTTCTTGGCCATTTTGAGAAACTTCAAAGAGTTTTAACAAAGAGCTTAGTCAATGAGGTATTCCCAGTTCCTGCTCTGTTTATGACCGGCCAGATGTGAAGGCAACTGCAGAGGCCACTGTCCTCCAGTTGAGATTGGGGTTTAGGTGAGGTATTGTTCAAAGTTCCTGTGGAAAGCTGTTCTCACACGTTGGTGCTACAACAGGGTGGAAATAACATATTTCAGTCATGAGTTTTTTTTCTTTTGCCTACTTCTATTTGGCAGTTGCATAGAAACATATAACAATAGCCCTTCATCAGAGATAAACAAAAAAAATCTGAAGTTCCTATGCTGAATAGTTTTTGAGATATTCCATTTTTGTATGTCCAGATATCAGCTTTTGAAATAGAACCCACACTTAAAATATGGGGTCTATTGCAAAACCATTTGCTAGTGTAGTGTAGGTCGGCAACAACAGTATTCCTACCAAATTCCATGCTGCTAGGTGCAGACGTTTCTGTGTTACGTTTGACCGAATATCTCTGAAAAAAAAAAATCAATTGAATATTAAAAAAAATAAATAAATAAAAACTTAAACAGTTTGTAAAAAAACAGGATAAAACTTTGTGTAAAGGTAATTTAAGATGATTAAAACAACTAATATGTAGTGGAAATAATGTGTAAAGACATACAAAACCAAACATCATTAAGTCTGACTTGTTATTGGTGAATAACAAACTGACGTAGGTTAGAGGAGGAACATGAGCAAAAAAAAAAAAAAAAAACTCACACCTAAGCAGTTACAATCAAGGAATGGAATTCAGTTTTGTCATCATGGGCCTAAGATTAGCTTTGAGCTTGTTGACACTGATGTTAGTGGTTGGTCTGGGTGGGTCGGTGAATGGTCTGAGTCAAAGGATTTTGCCTAAAGAGGTTCTGAATGGTGCTGGTGTCAGTACTGAGGATTCATCAACAAAATGTACCCTGCAAGGTACAGCTCGTTTACCTGCATTTTCAATGGATGGTGACTTTGTTATTGGAGGTGTTTTCTCCATGCACTACAAACTGCAAACAGTGATTTACAACTACACCACAAAACCTGAAGCTTTAAGATGCACAGGGAGGTAAGAGGAACAAATGGTGGGAAAATATTGTTACAGATATAAGCATGACAATTATGTGATTTGCTGCAACGACTGTCAAGAAAACATGATTTTCTACATTATCAAATCCACTACGTGTATTACATTACAAATGTGTTTGCTCAATATATATATAATTTAAATAAAAATAATGATTAAATAAAGTATTGATGATTTTTATAGTTTGATGCCTTTAACTCAATGTATAAATATAATCAGCATCCCACTCTACAGCAATACTAGATTCAGGTGACATTAGTGTCCCATAGTCCAAATTAAACGTAATTTAAAACTTTGTCATTTTTGTTCAGTTCCTAACTTACATGTTTGATGTATTTTTGATTTATATTTAATGTCCATCTTAGCACTCACCTGTTTTTGTGCAGCATGAATGTTCGTAATCTGCGGTTTTGTCGCACAATGATTTTTGCTATTGAGGAAATAAACAACAGTACAGAACTGCTGCCGGGGATCAAACTTGGATATCAGATCTATGACTCGTGTTCCTCTGGGCCCGGGGCAGCAAATGCAGCATTTCATTTATCTAATGGTAAAGACCCAGTGTTTTATGAAGGCAACAATTGTTCCCAATCTGGAGTGGTTATGTCTGTTGTTGGTGATTCTGGATCTTTGGGATCCATCAGCATATCGCACATCATTAGGGCCTTCAACATCTCACAGGTAAATCGTCTGTTATTGAAAAAGAAAAATATTTGATATAAAAGCAACATACATGTTTGTTTGTTTGATGTAGGTGAGTCATTTTGCCACCTGTGCCTGTCTGTCAGAAAAGCAGCAGTACCCAACTTTTTTCAGAACAATTCCCAGTGATCAGTTCCAAGTTGATGCCCTGGTAAAGCTGGTGAAACACTTTGGCTGGACTTGGATTGGTACTGTTTACTCAGATACAGATTATGGAAATTATGGCATGGCATCTTTTCTTCCGGCTGCAAARAAAGAGGGGATCTGTGTGGAGTACTCTGAATCCTTCTATCGAACCGACCCACATAGCAAGATCCAAAGAGTGGCTGATGTTATCCGCAGGTTTGTACATGACAAAATCCTTTCTTGATTGTACAAAGTTGTAATATGTGTTAAAAAGAAAAAAAACTAAAAGAAAGAAAAATACTATTTGAAAAAAAAAAAAAAAAAAAATATATATAAAAGGGAAAAATTTTTTTTAATATATATGATATATATATATATATATATATATATATATATATATAGGTTACACAAGGTACATGTGTTTCTAGTGTGGTATTGATGAGCTTATTAAATGAATTTTATAATTGCTGCAGGTCAACAGCACTTCTTGTTGTGGCTTTTTTTGCTTCTGGAGATATGAAGGCACTGTTAGAAGAGCTGGCTCTGGAGCCTTCACCACCTCGTCAGTGGATAGGAAGTGAGGGATGGATAGCCGAGCCAGTCTTCACGAGTTATAATTTCTGTGCAGGAGCCATTGGAGTTGCTATTCCGAAATCTGTTATTCCAGGTCTGAGAAACTTCCTGTTGGATCTCTCTCCCACTGAAGTAGCTGCTTCCTCAATGCTTACTGAGTTCTGGGAGGAAGCGTTCAACTGCAGACTTACAAAAAGTAATTTTTAGCAATGAAACCTAATGGGAAGAGTAATACATGTTGCATTGTGTATTTTTTAATTTAATATATTTTTATAAATATTGTATACAGAGTGTATTAAAAAAGGAAACCCAACTTAACTTTGTCACCATGGCAGAACTATACATATTACAGCAGGAAGCCTAGTTTCACCTAAACATAGACAACAAATGCTTTCTGATGATACTTCTTTCATGAATTTCCAGTTACGCATTACACATGCAACAAAATTAACACCGTCTCATTTCTTTTTCTTAGAATTTTTTTTCTTTTGTGTATTCATGACATTTTCAAAACATGTTTCACTTTCTTCACTGTCCAATGCCTTCCGCATGTCCCCCTCCCCTCTCAACACACAGATGGCATCGACATCTCATATCGTTCACGGCTCGTAGGATGTTGCCTGGATTCTCTTGCAACACTTTAACCTCATGCTCAATTCTCTGTTGCAAGTCCTGCAGGTTGCGTGGAGGAGTTATAAACACTTTATCCTTCACATACCCCCAGAGAAAGAAGATGCAAAAGATGCGAGTCAGTGTTAATTTTGTTGCAAATCAGAGTGAACCACCTCCAAATTGTGACCCAAATTTCAACACAATGCTGTCCGGTCGTGCATAACTGGAAATTCATGAATGAAGTATTATCAGAAAGCATTTCTTGTGTAATTTTAGGTGAAACTATGCTTCGTCTTGTAATACGTATGTATAGTTTTGCTATGGTGACAATGTTAAGTTGGATTTGCTTTTTTGATACACCCTGTACGTACAGAAATACTGTATACATATACTGTATATAGCTATGTTTTTGTGTATGCAGATGCTGATTCAGACAAGAAAGTGTGTGATGGAAATGAAGATATTAAAACACTAATAAGTCCATACACTGACACATCTCAGCTAAGAGTTTCTAACATGGTGTATAAGGCCGTTTATGCAATAGCTTATGCCATTCACAATGCAGTGTGTCAGGAAACAAATCTTACCACTCAGTGTAACACAAACATCAAATTGGAGCCCCAACAGGTCAACAATGACAAAAACTTTTTTTCACATTAATGTCAGGTATAATTTTTGGTAGTTGTGCATGTTAGTGACACGAATTGTACATTTCTTTCTTTTTTAAACATTTTACAGATTTTTAGTGTGCTAAAAAATGTCAACTTTTCACGCAATGGTTATCCGGTGTCATTTGATGCTAATGGTGATCCTGTGGCTTTTTATGAGCTGGTCAACTGGCAGAAGAGTGAAAGAGGAGTCACTGAGTTGATAACAGTAGGATATTATGATTCATCACTGCCTAAAGGCCAGGAGTTGCAGGTTAACAGGAACATATCTTGGGTAGAAGGTGTCACACAAGTAATAAACCTAATGACTACAATAAATACTGTAGTTTGAGAACTGCTGAGTCCAAGCTGCTTTATAATGCTAAAAAATGTGTCCATATTGTTGTGACAGGTTCCAGTGTCAGTGTGCTCTGAGAGTTGTCCTCCAGGAACTCGTAAAGTGCTGCAAAAAGGAAAACCCATCTGCTGCTACGATTGTATACCATGTCCTGAAGGAGAGATCAGTAACATGACAGGTATCTTCAAATATTTTCATGCATGCATACATATACTGTATCATTACATATGTCAGTGCTATAGCAACCTTTTTTATGTTTTAGATTCTCCTGATTGCTTCCAATGTCCTGCAGAATATTGGCCTAATGCAGAAAGAGATGCTTGTTTACCCAAACCTGTGGAGTTTCTGTCATTCGATGAAGTCCTAGCAATCATCCTGGCTGCATTCTCTATTTTTGGAGCCTGTCTGTCCATAATAACAGCAGTTATCTTCGTAAGTCACAGAACAACACCAGTTGTTAAAGCCAACAACTCTGAGCTGAGCTTCTTGCTGCTCTTCTCTCTGACTCTGTGTTTCTTATGTTCATTAACTTTCATCGGAGCTCCCTCTGAGTGGTCCTGCATGCTGAGACACACAGCATTTGGCATAATCTTTGTTCTCTGTATCTCCTGTGTTCTTGGGAAAACTGTTGTGGTTTTAATGGCCTTTAAAGCTACACTTCCAGGTAGTAATGTCATGAAATGGTTTGGACCTCTACAACAAAGAATGACTGTTGTGTTTTTAACCGCCATTCAATTTTTAATATGTACTGTTTGGTTGGTTCTCAATCCTCCATTTCCAATGAAAAACCTGAGCACATACAAGGAGAAGATCATCCTGGAATGTGCATTAGGCTCTGCTGTTGGCTTCTGGGCTGTGCTCGGCTACATTGGCCTGCTGGCTGTTTTTTGCTTTGTGTTAGCTGTTCTAGCTCGGAAACTACCTGATAA